AAGTTTATAGGCCTTATTTGGTCAAATCAATGAAAAATAGATTTCAATGGTTCTAAACTTTTAACACACTTATCTAAACAGTATTTTGATGTACGATTATTCGGGTGGCATTAAAGTTCTTTGTTTTCTTTATTAACTTAAATTATTTGAGCTAAATCAAAAAATGTGCGATATCAAAAAGGTGAATTATTAAATTATTAATTAAGATATATGGATCGTTTAAAAAACATATTTTTCAGTCAGTTTTTGTTCGATTTTTCCTTTAGTAAAGTTTGTGCGATTATGCGTATGAATCACTACATGCTTTAAGCCTGAAAATAATAGTTAAATGTGATGATCGCATAGCTTAGCGTTTCGGGGTTAGGAGTGTCAAAAGCTTTTATCAACACGACTTTCTAAATGCCATTCAGTTGTGGATTTCTCAGGTTCCAAAAGGCCGTCCAGTTTTCAAGCGACGGATTAATGGCAAGATTTCATAATATCGACATATTCATGCCACCAGGTCTGAAGTATTGGAAGCTTCATTTTCTCCAGTACAACTTCAGTAATAACTGCGGAAGGGCTAAGTGTTACACAATTATTCTCAGCCACGACCGAAGAGTAATGTGCCAAACAATTGAAATTCCGATATTTAGGAGCGGGATTTATTTTCATTTATTTATGGATTTATATCCTCAAGGTTACGTTCAAGTGAATCAGTACATTTAATAGTTGTTATCGGAAGCCAATAATAGTACATAATAACCATTTATAAATATAAAATATTCGGGATTTATCGGAGGTCCATCTAATACATTAAGCGCGTACATTTTAAATGATTCCCCGATAGTGCATCATCCAGAATGTATAATTGAACCGTATATTTTTTTTCTCCATATTTTGCCTTCTGAACGAAAATTTACTCATTATAATTAACGATTTTTTCATATGTAAAATTTGTATGGTTTTGCGTACTTTTCCTCATCGAAATCTGCTACTGCTACTACCTTATTCAAACTATTTTCCAGTATTGTTCATACCTAGAGGGAGGGATACATGGGAAAATAACAGTATTTGTTCATATTATTATCAACATCTTCTTTTATAAAACTCACCTCTAAATAAAGAAGAGAAATTCACCTGTTTAATTTAAATTGAACTGAACACAGTGGAAAAGAAAGTTTGATGGCTATAAGACACAAATCTTACTTGCTTTGAAGGATTTGAATCCACAGCTCGTACACTAATCGTCATTTTATGAAATGCTCCCATGAATAAGTATTCGAATGCGTTACTTTTATAATTTATCTGAAAAAGTTCAAATTCTACGCCCCTTCTATGCCTAAGAAAAAAACTCATATTCCAAAGATTTAACATATACTCTTATTACGGTTTTCATTACTCCACTTAGTTGAATATAAGTTGAACTAATTTACTTTCATATCACTTCAACTCTTTTTTGGTGTTACGAACTTAAACTATTTTCAATCGAAGTTTCATTAGTGTTGCTAGCCCTAAAAATGAAGATTTGATAAATATGATCAGTTATGGATATATTTGTGCCTTCAACAAAGATTTTGTAAGTATACTTGTTTTTCACGATATTTGTAACTAAAAGACAATTTTTGAGATATCGGCCTGAAATTTTGGAGACGTTCTCTCCCTACGAAGCCGCTCATTTGTCACTATAGCATAGAGCTGTCATACAAACTGAACGATCGAAACGATCGGAATCAGGTGCTTGCATGGAAATCTTTTTAATTTGACGAAATTTGACATTGAGTATTATCTGAAGCAATAATGCAAAAAGAAATTGTTTAGACCGGATAACTGAACGATCGGAATCAAGTTCTTGTAACGAATCTTTTGCATTTGTGAAGGTTATTATAGATTCGGAGCGACCGCAACAGCCGATCAGATAGTTACCATGCACAAAATCTTGGAAAAGATCCGTGAGAAGTAAATCGACACACACCACATCTTCGTCGATTTAAAAGCTGCTTTTGACGTCACGAAAAGGAGATGTCTTTATGCCGCGATGTCTGAATTTGGTATCCTCGCAAATGTAATACGGCTGTGTAAACTGACGTTGAGCAATACCAAAAGCTCCATCAGGATCGGGAAAGTCCTCTCCGAGCCGTTCAATAACAAACCAGACAATTTTTAGACAATGCGACTCCCTATCATGCGACTTCTGCAATCTATTGCTGGAGAACATAATTTGAGCTGTAAACCTTAATTGAACAGGCACAATCTCTATATCATTGAGCTAAACAACCGCGCTGGTAGTTAAGCTTTCTCCAGACTAGATAAGGATGGAAAGCAAATGGGTCTGCCAGTGAACGAGAGCAAGACGAAATATCTCCTGTTATCAAACAAACAGTCTTCGCACTCACGACTAGGCTCCCACGTCCCTGTTGACAGTCATAACCTAAAAGTTGTAGATAGATTCGTTTATTTTGGAACCAGCGTTAACAGCAACAACAATGTCAGCCTCGAAATCCAACACAGAATAACTCTTGCCAAAAGGTCCAACTTTGAATTGAGACAAACAAAAACCAAAACTCTGTAAGTCACTCATTATTTCCGTCCTGTTATATGGTCGGCGTTATGAGTTTTCGAGAGAAAGGTTCTGCGAAAGATTTATGGTCCTTTGCGTGTTGGCCACGGCGAATATCGCATTCGATAGAACGATGAGCTATATGAGACATTGACATAGTTCAGCGAATTAAGAGACAGCGGCTGCGTTGGCAAGGTCATGTCGTACATATAGACGAAAACACTCTAGCCCTGAAAGTATTCGATGCAATACTCGCTGGGGAAAGCAGAGAAAGAGGAAGATCTCCACTCCGTTGGAAAGACGGTGGAGAAGGACCTGGCTTCGCTTGGAATTGCAATTAACGTTACGTGATGTTGTTAACTCGGCTATAATGGCATAAGCGGTGGCTAAGCCAGTAAAAAAGAAGGATATCAAAGAATGAAACAGGAACAGGAGCGGTCTTCTTCTGTAGTAATGTATATAGTATTGTGCGCAGCTTCAAGCTAAATGAAAATTCGGCATTTCAGGCAGAAATTTTGGGCATAACAGGAGGTGCCAAACGGGCTACATAAACATTCTAGCTGACAGCCAAGCGGCTGTTAGACTTTTAGTGAGTAACTCAGTTAATATTATCCGGGTACCGGGATGGCGTTCATTCTGGAAAAGTGAGAGTGTTTTAGTAGAAAAATATGAGTGTATTGCAACTTGAAAGCATTTTCTTAATCGTAAAACGTCCGGGTTAGGAAACGACAACAATTTCCACAACATACAACATCCACAAACATACTGTATATTGTAAGTTCGTAGGAACGGAAAGAAAATCGAAATAGTAATACGCAGGATTAGCTAACATCATTCATTTGAAATTTACAATACATCGTTCTCAATCCATCCGTATAACTTCTGATACAAAATAGTCAAAGTCTTTTGTTAACATATTTATTTATTCATTTACATATGTATTGCAGTAATAATTCATAAATACAACAAAGCGTTAATTGCTTGATTCATAAACAACTTCAATGATTAAATGAAATTTGTTTGCGCGTATGTATGTCTGTATAAGCTTAACATTAGAAAAATACACTCTTCGATTCGCCAAACAAACGGGTAGCGCTTATGGTAACAACCTTCCCCTCATATGTCTTGTTGTGATTGTGTCGTGATTCTTTCTTAGTGGAGAAATCCTTTTTATACTCTCGCAACAAAGTTGCTAAAGAGAGTATTATAGCTGTGTTCACATACCGGTTGTTTGTAAGTAGTAAAACTAAAAGAGTCAGATACAGGGTTATATATACCAAAGTGATTAGGGTGACGAGTAGAGTTGAAATCCGGATGTCTGTCCTGTCTCTTATACACATCTAGATGTGTATAAGAGACAGTCTGCCCACTGCCACGCCCACAAAATGGCGGAAGCCGAAAACCTATAAAGTGTCATAACTAAGCCATAAATAAAGATATTAAAATTAAATTTGGCACAAAGGATCGCATTAGGGAGGGGCATATTTGGACGTAATTTTTTTTGGAAAAGTGGGCGTGGCCCCGCCCTCTACTAACTTTTTCGTATATATCTCGGAAACTACTATAGCTATGTCAACCAAACTGTATAGAGTCGTTTCTTTTAAGCATTTCCATATACAGTTTAAAAATGGAAGAATTCGGATAATAGCCACGCCCACCTCCCATACAAAGGTTTTGTTGAAAATCACTAAAAGTGCGTTAACCGACTAACAAAAAAGTCAGAAACACTAAATTTTACGGAAGAAATGTCAGAAGGAAGCTGCATCCAGGCTTTTTTTAAATTGAAAATGGGCGTGGCGTCGCCCACTTATGGACCAAAAACCATATCTCAGGAAGTACTCAACCGATTTCAATGAAATTCGGTATATAATATTTTCTTAACACCCTGATGACATGTACCAAATATGGGTGAAATCCGTTCACAACCACGCCTGAAATCTCGATTATCACTTTATCGTGCGAGAGTATAAAATGTTCGGTGACACCCGAACTTAGCTCTTCCTTACTTGTTTTTGTTTTAAATTATTGAAATATCTAAAGCAAAAGTATGCAGTATTTAAGATAGAAGTTGTACCACTTTATTAATGTATCCGTCATTGTTGTTGCTTTCACTTGTAATTTGACAAGAAATCATATAGATTCCTTATCGAAGACAGCTATAATAAATAGGTCGTTTTGATTTTTATGGTTGGTTAAAAACTTCAGTTTAAGAGTTACCGTTATTTTGATTGTTTCGAGAAACCATAATCTTTTAGTAGAAACCGTTATTACAACAGAAGGATTTGTTACTTAAATCTGATGATGTGGTCATGAAAAAAATAATAAAGCATTAGATGCGTTTGGCGTAAGACACTCAGTTCAAGTCAAGTCATTTAACTTTTGAAGTTTCCTTACCCCTCTAGTATACTACAAATGCTGAAAACTAACAAAGAATGGATGAAAAAAATGTATGCAGTCTATGTATAGTGTGGGCGCTACCGCATTATACATATATTATATTTTTGCAATGCTACACGGAGAGGATTCACTACGGTATACTATTTTTCGCCGACTAATCAGTAATAAGGCTTCTTTTTAATAGCAACGTCTTCTAAATTTTTGCTTATGGTTACTTATAATGTATTACAATTTTTTTATCTGAATTAATTTGAGTTTTAAACTCTAAATTAAGTTTTGCTCTTGTTTTTGCTGAACAAATTCCTTGTATTTGACTTTGAAATTGAATTTGAATAACAGTCTATCTTTTATATGTATCTTCTGCACCAATCAAAATATGTAGACTCTTTTCACTTACTATGTTATAATATATGTGAAGATAACCAACTCAATCTAGAAGTTTAATATATCCACTAACTTCACATTTTAAATTGAAGTGTGAAAAATAATTGTATATCACTGGTGAGTAAAATTAATTAAATTATAATAATTCGGTCAAAGAACATCTAATTCTCCTTCAAAATTCCTTGAACGGTTTTGCAAATGATTTTTACTTAACAAAAATGCGTCTGAATTCCGAAACTTCGCGATATCTTCAAAACTGAGTGGCAGTAGTTTTTGTGTCAACAAACTGGTAACTGATTCGCCACTAACAAGATTTGAACCTAATTCAAAATTTTTTTTGTATTGTAGTTCTTTTTTCAAAAACCTATGAAAATACCAAAATTTCAGTACGTTTTCAGGATAGAGATAGGAAATTTGTAGAAAGCGGTTCTTAGACTGTGCAATATATAATACATAGTTTTCATAACACAGGGTGAAGTTAGCTGTCATGACATATTACCATTGAGTTGCTACATAACACACCTGGTCCATTTTGAAAGCGGGAAGGCTAAATATAAATAAACAATACATATACATATATTTTTTAGTCACTTCGATTTTATATAAAGAGAATTAAAGGTGGCAATGCCTCAAAAAAAATTCCTCACCTTGAATTCCTCCTCAAGGAGGTTCAAATCAAATGCATGAAACATACATACGTACAAATTTTTTCTATACCTTCTCTGTCATAGTATTTCTAGAAATAGTATTTTTACAAAAATTTTTATCAGTGCAATTTTTTTGTAGTTTCAAGTGCGTCAATGTTTCAACCACAACATTTACTTTTGAATATTCAATGCATTTTCGTATCTTCATATGTATTTACTTGTGTGCATGGCTGTTGTAACAGCATTAAAGCAAAATGGTTTGCATTCACGTTATTCATTATTTGACTAATTAACTACAAATATGTACGAGTATGCAAATGTAGGTCAATACTCCCTATAGGCTTCCACCGACTCTATAATCACTTTCATATGAACTATTGCAACTATGCCTAGGTGTGTTCAAATACATATGTATGTTTAGACCTTTCAGTGGTTTCAGCATTCATACATATCTACTCTTAGAAGATCCAGAGTTTAGAGAATGCTGCAAGCAGAACCGTGCATTACTTCACTGATGAACATCGGTGTGCCGGCACCCAGTCCACCATCCGTTTTCTGGTGCTCATTCTGTGTGTGAAATGGGAAATAAAACAAGGTGAGTAAAAATAGAACTACAGAGTATACGCTGTACACTTACGTCGTCGTATTCGCAATCAAAATAATGACCTTGACACTCCATGCAACGGCATGCGTCTGACATCTTACACGTGATGCCCCATTGTTTGGCTAAATCTTTGTATATTTCCTTTGATGATTTGTTGCTTATTATTTCCGGCGTGATGGAGCGTTCCTGTGTTGGCTGTTGGCCATACTCATAATCGTATGTTTGCGATTGCTGTTGTTGTTGTAGTTGATGCTCATGACTATGGCTGTTCGACATTTCTTCATGTTGGCTCCAACCCCCATCGGCATCGGTATCCCACTGACTACGCTGGCACTCATCCTGCAGCTGATTATCTCCACTCTCCTGATTATAATGCGATACTGTTAGTGAAAAATCAAAATTTCAATGAAACAAAATATTAATTTATCGTAAAGTAAAAACATGAATTTATTTTCAAACTTTTTGTATAATTTGAAAATGGAGCCGGGTCTTTCCGACTCGGTTTCATTACATCTGGCGTATCTTGATCTCGATGTTAAATCGATCCAACAATGCAGATTAATATTGCACAATGTTCGATGTAGACGATGAAAATAATGGCTATAATGTGTTCCCGAAAATACCAGCTGATTTATTTTCGCGAGCTATTCCCGGTTACTTTGAGTCCAAAACCTTGAAAACAGTTGATGTGTTGAATACAATCCTCGTGACAGACTGCAAACAACATCTGTCAAATATTAAAATACACACGTTCTTATCGACGAACCTATTTTGACAGCTGCACGACTACACGACTGCAGGCGGACAGTTGTCGTTCTCGCTAACTTCTGTAAGGAACAGAATACTCGCGACAGACTGCAGCAGCACGACAGTGAATTGAAAATGGCGTTGTGAATCCTACTACCTGACGTTTGTGAGAGGGCAGCAACATAACAAAATGTACACAAAACAATGCAGTTGTCTATTTTGCATGTACACAATTTCATTGTGGCCATACTAATACCAGAAAATTTTTATAATAGAGAAGGTTCACGGCGCGGAGATCGTAAAAATATTTTTGGCTAACTCGGTGAGATGGAGGAGTTTCACCATGCCAGCTCGGCAGGAGAAATTTTAACATTTCATTTGAGCAGAGCTGAGCGTGAAATAAAAATTATGCTCAAAACTATATATTGCGCTAACAGACGTATGTTCGCTCTTTTACTTATATTTCTATACGGTTTACATGCAGACATGTGTATTCATAAGAATTCTTTTTGTGCATATTTATGAATGCAGGTGCAATTGAATACACTTTAATTAAATAACTTTTTCAAAGCAATATTCTTAGTTATTTCTTGTATTTGATATATTCATAGTTATGTGCATACTTCATTACGTATGTATTTATACGCGTACAACAAACTATAATAATATATTATAAAAATTAAATATATTACAATAGTGATAAATGTACATACACTTGTGCTCACATAATTAAGTCACGCCAATAACAGAACGAAAGTTTATTCAAAGCAACTTCTATGGTACAGGAATGAAACTTAATTTTACAAAAAATGGAAGAAATTTTAATCCAGTTCAAAACAGAATACTTATTTTTTATTTAACTTCTAAAATAATAAAAATATTGCGTTCATTCGCTTGGCCCATCCATGTTGTTGTGCTCATATAATTAAGTCACCTAAAGAAAAATGTAGTTATTCGAAGTATACGAAATTTGTTTGCAGTTTTACCTTACTTAAGACTAAGACTTAGTTGGATAAATTTATTACGTAGCACGTCAGTACATCGCTTAGGCATTGTTTGGACCAAAGTAGCACATTGAGCGGGACTTATTTTGTACCACTCTGCCTGTATTATTTCCCATAAAGAATCTTTGTTGCGAGATTTTCGTGTAGCTATGGCTCTTTTTATAATCCCCATAGGTTTTCTATGGGGTTTAGGTTCAGACTTTGAACTGGCCAATCCAGAATTTTAATATTTCGACTACGTATCCGAGTTTTAACGACCCGCGAGCAGTGTTTGGGGTCGTTATCGTGCTGGAAAATACAAGCTAACGGTAAGTTGTCCACATAATCACCGTCTAAATTGTTCTCCAGTATTCCTTTGTACATTTCACCTGTAATTTTCCCGTCTATTTTAACAATCGCGCCAACGCCTGATGGCGTGAAGCAACCCCACACCATCACCGATGAACCGCCATGTTTCACGGTTTTTTTTMGTGTATTTGGGATTGAGTTCTTGCAAAGGGGGTTGTCTTATATATGGTTTCCCATCATTACCAAATACATTAAATTTGGATTCGTCACTCCAAACCACCAAATTCCAAAATTTAAAGTCCTTCCAGAGATGGCCTTTAGCAAACGCTTTTCGCTTTTCAATATTTTGTTTTTGAAACGTTACGTTTTCGTTTTGCTAAACGGCCATTCAATGAATTTCTTGTAGTCGTCTTCGTACAGTTTGCGCAGATATTTGTACGCCGTGGTATTCTTCTAATTGAGCCCTAATTTCTGTGGAGGTTAAAAATGGATCAGACTTACTTAGCCTTCCTAAGGCCCTATCGTCAGAACTGGTGGTCTTTCTTGGCTTTTTACTTGGTACATTTTCAAAAGTCTTATTTTTTTTATAAAATTGAACAGCGTTATTAATTTTGCCTCGAGAAAATCCTAAAACATCTACAACTTCGGCAATATTTTGATATTTTTGAAAACATTCCCACATGACCTTTCTTTCGCTTGAAGTTGTGCTTTTATTCTTGCCCATGACTGAATGACATGAATATTGATGTAAATTGTGGCGAAAAAATTTTAATTTACCCGTTTCAAACAGAATGACTTAATTATGTGAGCACACTTTTATTGACAATAAATGGAAAATTCATTTAAGCTCTCTCTATTCTTTTAAGTACCACTTGTTTAAGTATCCGCATTCGCTTATGGGCCATATTATATTTTTATTTTTACAAACCTCAAAAATCTGTATCTTTGATTGTGGCACATAACCGGGATTGACTGCATTTGTCAAGGAATGAAAAAAATATTTTTACGCGGCTTGCAAAAATCTGCGTCGATATGTATGCAAGCTTACACACAAACATACATATTAACGCTGGTTTGTTGTCGAAGCTGTACAGGGACAAGGAAAGCGGTGACAATCGGCGGTCGTTTGTTTATTTTTTTCCACACAGCTCGGATTTTCTACCAACAATGCAAGTTGTGACGCATTGTCGCCACATTGACTCTTTGACAAAATGTGAGCTTCGCCATTGGCTGACCGTGTGAACGGAGATTTCTTATGAAGCATTGAGTGTACATATTTACATGCATATGTTGCATGTAGACAAATTTACAAACATTATGCGTATGGTCTGTCATATTTGTTTAAATGCACACATAATTATATGTAAGTATATGAGCGCATGTGCGAACGCTGGATCTTTTAAGATGATATCAAAACTTTTAAAGTAAGTGTATAAGTTTAAATCTAATTACCTTAACTTATATCAATTATTTGGGTAATAATACAAGCTTTACTCTATTATATATTTTTAATGATTTTATGGAATCATCATGAAATACATATGTATGTAGATAAACTTTAATATACAGTGAAACTTTGATAACTCGTATTTGCAAGGGACCACAATTTAAATACGAGTTCTGGAGTTTTTCAAGTTATCAAGTTATACAACTTATAGAGGCAACATACAGAATATACGAATTATAGAGCTTTTTTTATTTATTTTTTCAATTTTACATAAAAAACAAGAAATGATTGTACATATTTAAATTTTAAAATATAAAGTACATATGTTATTCAATCAATATATGTATKTATGTATTTTGAAAAATTGTACAAAAAAATTAAGAAAAGTGTTCATTTAAAAAAAAATCCGTAATATGTTTTTGACGGACATTATGTTGGCGTATTTTATCTATGGCATTATCAATGTTTACAATGTCATTAARAATAGTGTCTTCAACATTTGATGCCATGAAAAAAAGACGCAAATTTTCAATTGAAGCTTTCGCAACCTTTGTGGAAACTGAGGGAATTTCAAATGTTCAAATACGAGTTGTAAAGGCTTTTGAGGAAAAAATACGAGTTGAAGAGGCTTTTGATACACATTTTTCAATTTTTGTCTCAAGAAAAATACGAGCTATCAAAGGGACCGAAATTCATGCATTTTTCGCGAATTTTTCTAGGGACCGAAGAAATACTATGAAATATCAAGGTTTTCCGCTTATCGAGGTTACGACTTATCGAAGTTTCACTGTACATACATACGTACCTATGTACATATATACTAAGTATATGCTTTGATACCAAATATATAGGGATCATATGTATATAAATTATGGCCGAGAAACTTCTCCATCTGGACCGAGTTAGCCAAAAATATTTTTACGATCTCCGCGCCGTGACCTTTCTCTATTATAAACGTTCTCTGCTATAAATATACGTTCTCTGCAAATACTCTCCAGCCGGCCTGAGGACTTTTCGATCAAAAAATTGTGTGCGATAATTGATACCGACGACAACCTGCTTAATCATATGTAAACTGTTTTACCAACATCGAAAGTACAGGGTGGCTACAGGATACAAAGCATCTGCGTTAGTTTCTATTGCTTGGTCAGGCGTTAAATCTGATAATATTATATTCGTTGGTACTTTTAGTAGGGGTCTCATCCAAAATATTTGCTGCATTTACTGGATTGCCTTTTAATCCTTCAACAGATGTATGTATAATGAAACTGAATTTGAATTGCAAACTTAAATTCGGTCCAAACCGATAAGTGAAACGATAATATAAACGCCTTATAATTGATCGTACCTTTTTCCATTTTTATGAAAAACTTATATAAATACTTACAAATACCTCATTAATTTAAATATCCGTAACTCGCTCATCAACAAATAGATCTCGATGAAAATTCGCGGTTCAATTATTTCGAAGTTAGCACCATCTATGTATTAACCACGGCATGTACTTTTTTTGAGTTGATAAATGAGTTCAACTTCATCGAAGATTTTGTTTTCGATACGGTTCAATGATTTCAACATAATAGGGGTATTCTTTTGCTCTTGCAAAACCCTTGCACGGTGCACGAATTGCAGATTTTTCCACCTATTGCAAAAGCACAACAACAAACACACGCCAATTGCAATGGCTGCAAAATATGTCAGACCAAAACCCATGTTTATTTGCGTGCAATGGCACGTAAAAATATAATTGCAACCCTGTTTTAGCTATCATTTTACATAAAGACATATTTCTCCGTTAAATTGTTGAGGAAGGTAAGTTTTAGGTAGATTTTATAATTTCTATTTAAATTATAAAGATTTGTTACAGTTTTCTTTGTTAAGAATGAATGCAGTAGGTGCGCCAATTCACAATAGCCATGTACAATAGTCATTTACAATAAATTGACCGAATCAGCCGTATATATATCACAAGATCAGCAATGGGTGCTCTCGTGCCCTTGTATATTTCGGTATAGGATTTTTGCACTCTGCAATCTTGCAAGATAATCCCCCTAGTTTGTTTTGATCGAAATTTATTTGATGACTACACCCAATATATTTTTTTTACCAATTTTACGTTTTTTATCAATGGGTCTAATTATAGAATTCGTTTCGATCGAAAACCTTGATAATTTGATCGAAAATTATTACATTGAAATCATTGAAACCGTGTCGAAAATTAAGTTTTCGATACAGTTGAACTTACTTGCTGACTCGATAAAATGCATTCCTTGTCTAATAGATGGCGCTAATTTCGAAATCATTGAAACCGCAATATCGAAAATATTTGTCGAAATCTATGCATTGATCAGTGAACTGCGTATGTAAATTGACAAATATGGAGCATTGTAAGTATTCATGTACAAAAAATACCTGAGAACGCATTAACTTATGTTTTAAATGTGTAATTTAGAGAGAAGAAACAAAAACACACTAACAAAAATCAACCAATAAATTCAAATCACTCATATCCCATATGTGAGAATCATGACTACTGCCGGGATACTTAGCACAAACGTATGGCTGGTGGACATGTCAATGGAAATCTATCTCAAGAATGTTGAGTACTTCATCTAATACAACACAAAATATCGATTGGAAAATATTTATATTGAAGTCCTTTGCAATACAATGTTGATAACTGCTTTTGGCTAAGGCTCTCACTTAAATATAATGCAATTGTATCATTTTAAATATTTGTAAAAACGACCATTTACCATTTGTATGGTGAAGCAGTTTATCGACGGTCTCAATGATCGAAAATTCTTTCCGCAACGAATTCGATTTCGATGCGGATTCAATAATTAGACTAAATATTTTTTCTAAACAAACACAGTAATTTTCCTCTACAACTGCTTAGTAGTAGTAGAAAATTTTTGAAAGTCTAGTCACCCGCACTGACACACAGTTGAAAACCGTAATAGCACAAAAAAGTTTAAGTTTGACTACACTTCAATCGACAGTTTGCAACTGTATGTTTTTCCGGGTTTGGTGTTTGACCTCTTCATCAAATCAATGGCATTATGGATATATTCATATACAACGATATCCTTGAAAACGTAATGCTTCTCCATGCCGAAAAGATTTTGCGATCTTCATGGTCGTTTCAACAATACAACGACCCAAAGCACACGTCGAAACTTGTGGTATTTTGGGTCGTAGCTCAAAATATTAATGTAGGACATTGCGCACCAGGATCGCCGAGACCAGGGTATGTGAAACAAAGATCCGTCTGTGTGCGACAAGAGGCTGTCCACAGGGAGGTGTGCTATCACCACTACTATGGAGCCTTGTCGTGGACGAACTGTTAGCATTGCTAACTGACAATGGGATCCGCTGCCACGGGTATGCGGACGACATTGTGATAATAGCAAGAGGCAAATTTGAGGAWMCTCTCTGTGACCTAGTGCAACGAGGTCTAAATCTGGCAAAGGGGTGGTGCAGGGAAGTGGAACTAAACATCAACCTCTCAAAGACAACCGTAGTCCCTTTCACAAGGCATGCATGTGAACCAAACGCTGGTCAAAGCAACAAAAGTATTAATGGTGTGAAAACGGCTGGCGGGTAAATCCTGGGGCTGTAAGCCAAAGATCGTTAGGTGGTTGTACACCATGATTGTGCGACCGATAATTACATACGGGGCGGTGTCCTGGGCCTCCGTAGCGTCGCAGGCTTCGGTGGTATCCCAACTATCGAAGCTTCAGCGGGTAGCATGTGTTTGCATGACGGGCGCTATGCGGACCTGTCCGACGGCAGCTCAGGTCCTGTTGGAACACACAGCGCTCCATATAATGATAGGTCAAGTAGCCATGCACTCACTTCTGCAGATAACAGCAGAGGGATGCGGCAAAGGCAAGATAATCTCGTCCCAGAGGATGGATAGGATAAGTGGCGACATTCCTATTGCCCTCCTCCCAAAGGACGGCATTACCAAAAAAAATTCACTTCACGAAAAGGTTTAAGGTTACCCTCTGTAGCAAGAGTGAGTGGAACGATCCCACTCTTGAGCAAATGGTATGGAATAGCACATTGAGGTGGTACACCGACGGCTCGAAAACGTTGGAAGGAATAGGTGCGGGTATTGCAGTCCACGTACCAAGCTCTCCATTCCGATGGGAAGTTTTCCGAGTATTTTTCAGGCTGAAGTCTTGGCTACAAGTCCTTGTATAGAGATAAACCTCCACCGCAACTATCGCAACGAGCGAATAGCTATACTTAGCGATAGTCAAGCGACACTAAAAGCGATCTCCTCCTACGAGATCAAATCGCTGTTGGTGCAGGAGTGCAGAGAACGGCTGAACAACCCAGCTGGAAAGAACCCGGTGCACCTAGTCTGGGTGCCCGGTCTCAGAGGTATAGCCGGCAACGAACGGGCTGACGAGCTAGCCCACTCCGCAGCCTCCACCAATATGGTTGGGCCCGAACCGAATGGTTGGGAAAGGTATTGGCAGCGAGCGCACGGTATGCGTCATGCCAAGCTGCTAGTTGGGGGGTACAACCAAAAGAGGTTCAAATCGTTAATAAACCTCCCAAGGATCCTGGTCGCATTTTACACCGGCCATTGCAAGCCGAAAAGGCATTTACCTAACATGGGCCTATCATCTCGCGCCAACTGTCGGTTTTGCGACAGGGACCCTGAAACCCCGGAGCACCTGTTAATCGACTGCATTKCAGTCTGTAGGCGCAGGTCGAAGGCCCTTGGAGCCATGTTTCCGGATAGGGATCACATCGCCTCACTAGCACCCAGCAGAATACTGGACTTCATCAATATGCTGGGGCTAAGCGAGTCCCCGTGAGTTAGGAGAAGGCACAATAGACCTAAGGTCGCAGTGCATTCCTCAATTATTTATCTATACGAACTAATTACAGTATTATACATTGAAATAAGGTATGTATGTAGGTAGACGTGAGGGTGTCTACGACTTACAATGTGTTTTGTTTTTAATTAAGTAGAATTTTATATAATTTGATTTGAAAATTTTCCACCAAGATATTAAACTGTATAGAGATTACTATATTTAATATAATAATCTTCATGTTTCAAGTAAATGTCGAAACTACCATTGTAAATTGGAAGACATCTCAGCCGTAGTGTCTAGCGTAATAATATAATTAGATCTTACCTTCACTACAGTATCCACCATGATTGATTAGTGGATCGAAGAAGTCATTACTATTGCCGCCGCGATTGGTTTCGCCATTGCCACTAGTGTTGCATTCTTCGTTGCATTCCTCATTATAGTGATCCGCTTGGCATTGCTCACAGTTACCTCTACAGTTATCCACTAGATTAGTGGTTTCCTGAGCGGTTGATGCTGATGCTGATGTCGTTGAAGTTGTCATTTTCGCCGATATCAAAAGTTCCGTAGAATCTATCGACTCTTTACGATTGTCTTCCTCGCACTCGTCTTCTCCTTCAGAGTTGTTAACCTCGTTGTTACGAATATTTTGATTTATGATTCGAGATTGTTCAATGAACTCATGAAAATTGTTGAACTCGTTTAAGGATGCATTCTGTTCTCGTTGTTGCAAAAGCTGCTCGTTGCACAAATAATTATCCTGGCAATTGGGGTCAGTACATTCAATGGTGACTTCCTCATTTAGTGCGAGGTGTTCTAACGACGACAAAATAATGTTGTTTCTTGGATTATTCAAGGAATCACGGCGATCGTTGATTGTGTTTTCATCATGGGGGATAACTTTCAGCTATTGAATGAAAATATCGGTATTGTTAAATGTATTTTCTATAATGATATAACAGATAATATGTATCTTAGTTGTATGTATCACGTGAATGAAATTTAATGCGCCTTTTAAAGTTTTCAACTCCTCTCGGTTGAAGAGAAGTTGAAGCATTTCAACTCTAGATCAACCCAACCCGTTTTTGGAATAACGAGCTGCAACAATTTTTCAAAGTTATATTCACGTTGTCAATCTAAAAAATTAAGATGAAGATAAACATTTGCAAATGAAAAAAGTAAGGAAAAAAAAAGAAAGTAACGAAATCGCGAATGCAAGCAAGTTAGGTAGGTTATTTATACTGAATGTGTTGTACTTACTTAGTTTAATTTTTTTTTAATTGCCTCAACGAAAATCCTATTAAAATCATCCATAAATGGGAACTTTGAGATATAAACTTAACCGAAGGGGCTAAATTTAATATATTGAGTCGGCGTGGTGTGTATGTTTTTTTTGGCTTAGTTGCCATGAAGTTATGCTATGGTTACCAAGTTTACGAGAAATTAGTAGTTAATAAAATTTAAAAATATGTTGCTTACTTTTTATTTAAAAAATGTATGGTTTTCACTCAAACTGGAGGCTCTTTTTGAAGCGCTGATATTGTTATCAGAAAAAGATTATCTCTGAGTTTTCCTGGTAGTTCACATTATTAAATTTATGCATAAAGACGCACCGTTATTTGAAGAATGTGTTCATTCTATTTTATTAAAGCGGCGAACTCATGACAACTTACATAGTTTAACAAATCTGTTTGAAGACGGTTGAGCACTCACGACAAAGCGATTTGCTAAACATTATTTTCATTGTGTGACTCGAGAAGTAAAGATGTCTAATTATAATGCGCGTAATGTAAATGGATTATTACTACCAGTGAAAAAGCGTAAAAAGGCAATGCGAAAAAAAATATTGAAAAAAATGGATGAAGGGTAGCTATATGAAGAGCACAATTATTAAATTCAATGAAGTTGACTGCTCCTGAAGATTTTAAAAACTTCCGCAGAATAGATTCCAAAACGTACTTATATCGAGCTCCTCACTGCAGTCATTCCAAAATAAAAAAGTAAGTCAATTGTCGTATGCTATTAAATTTCCTTATATTTCGAAAAAAGATTGTTCCGCCACTTATTTTTCCCCATTAAATTTTATAAGCGTCACTTTCACAGTTCATTTCTAAATAATTCTATGAACTCTAAAAGAAAATGTTTGTTTAAAGTGGCCATACACGACACACATGTGCGTTCGATCGGTATGTGTGCGATTTCGGTTTACTCGTGTATGGGCTTGTGCGCATACCGATCCATGTTCGCGAAAATGTTTGATTTTTTACGATCGGTGTGCACACATGTGTATCGTGTATGGCAAGTGTTCAGAGGCTTCAATAAATCGATATTTTTGAGGATTTTTTGGGTGGAAAGAAATAATTGATTCAAGAGAAATTTATAGGCTTTATAATTATATATTTGAACATCTTTCACAAATTTTTTGGACACAAAATCTTTGATAAAGGGGTAAAATTTGACAAATTGTTTAAACTTTCAAAAAAGTGGTTTTTGACCAAAAAAAATTTACTATGTGTTGTTTAAAAATATGTTCAGACTTGACTTTTCTTAGTTTTTTTTAGTTTAAATAGAAGATAGTTTTGTGCCAAGGATAATAATATCTGCCCCAATTCCATACGACGTTTACTTTTTGTTCTATCCTGCTCGCCAATTAAGAATAATCGTAAAAATGAAAAACCGTGATCTCACGCTTCAAAGTTTTTGCTTGCCCAAGCGTTCATATATCTGCTAGACGCTCATATATCTGCTAGACGCTACTGTCCTTCCAGCTTCGATAATAATTCGAATTCCCATCTATAACTTTGGGGACATATTCTCAGATAATTTTTAAAGAGATTTAAGCAAAAAAACAATCGATTGTTGTCCCCTAAATAAAGATTTCGTATCAGAATTTATTGATCTTATAAAAAATGAATTGGCAATATGGCAAACGAAAAGTGATAAATATAAAAATAAAATTGAGAAAAAAAAGTTGGAATAACCTATTAACGAAGTACAAAAAATAGATAAAAGTGCTATATTAGAAGCAAATTCGAAGAAATGTTCCGCTCGATTGACTGTCGCACATGTTCACTGTATGAAGATGTATCATACAGATCGAATGCACATGTGTGTCGTGTATGGCCCCTTTAACGCTTGTCACACGCTTATGCTTCTGCTATAAACATTTCTACCAACTGAGCAAATGTTTGCAAACGATGCCACTCACCACAAATGAATTTACCAATCGGTTGTGGATTTTTGAAATTTGTCGCAAACCTGCCGTCCGATTACCAACATACCCACTCACGACAAAAACCACCTAAAACAGTTTTCTGAAATACTTGAATACTGGAAATGAATGTATGAGATGGAATTTAACATGGTGTTATGTGAGAAGAAGGCCTTTAACCCAAATGTGGGCGATGCCACCATTAAGTCTTGACAGCGGCTTCTATAGAACCTCCTCTTACGACCTCGGATGTAAAATTTTATGTTTTTGACACGTTTATTTATTGATTTATCACGCTTTCAGTAGTGTTTAACGGAACCGTTACATGGGGAGTGGAGGAAATCATTAAGTGTTAAAATGTTGGTATGGGTGCTGAAAGAATTTGGCCTGAGCCAATATGGTTATTAAAACTTGAATGGTTTGGGAGATAGGGCGGAGCCATGCCCATTTTTACAAAAAAATTTCCCCACAGGCGAAATCCTTTGTCAAATTACAGCTCTATATCTAAATTTAGTGCTAAGTTATCGTTATGGATATGAATAGGTTTTTGTTTAATGTCATTGTGGACGTGGCAGTGGTCCAATTACGCTCAACTTCATTACCTACCGTTGTATGATGCCGAGAAGCATGTGCACTAAGTTTCATTAAGATATCTCAACATTTGCTCAAGTTGCTGCTTGCTTAGGCGGATGGACAGACAATCAGCTGGAATTGATTTCATCTCATCAAAACAATTCGATTAAGTTCTTATCACGAAAAAGTGAAATGTATGAAATAAAATGGACGTTAGTTTTGATCTGCGAGTAAGAAAAGGTTCCACTTGATCCACTGAAGCAGTGTTAAAATCTGCAATACTACAAAAATGTTAAAGTTAGACAATACTTCAACTAAAACCGGACGGACTGAGTTGACACCGGTAATTCAGAATTTTAAAACTCCAACCAAAATGCAGTTCAGTTGAAAACTGTAGAAAGGACTTAAAAAATAATTCGAAATATTTGAATTTCAATGAAATTATATCAAAAATAAAACTTTATTTTTAAAATTTTAGTTTATCTACCTCTTCTAGCATATAATCATAGGTTGATAGAGGAGTTGTAGGAACAGCGTTTGATTCCGTTGTCGGTACGTCATTACTTGTTGTGAACCTGTGGTCGATATATCCTAGAACAATAATGTAAATATATATTCGTAAATTAGAGCAAAATTTCTAGCACAAGTGTTCTTTTGTGTGCAGCCGACAATAAATAATATGCATGCGTCGCATTCATAACAATACTTATATATACAGAACTTATTTACCATGCTCACATTAATTAATCTACATACTACTCGTAGAAATCCCATAAAGTAGGCAATCAATCGTCAACTGAACTGATCTAAGTAATTTAAAGACACTTCTTTGCCTTATAGAAGTGAAAGAGAAATTGCTATGATAGAGAAACCAAATAATACATGTATGATAGAAAATTAATTTTGTTTTATCAGACATATATTAATATGTACTTAGTCTCGCCATATATTTTGTTATAAAGTTTACAATGTAAATAGCGAGGACAATTCTCAGAAAAAGGTACCGTTTTTTATAAGAATTTGTATGCAGCGTCTTCTCATATATAACATAAAGAAAAGCTGCTAATGAAGATAAGAGCTAAAGGAAATCATATTCCGGTGGTCTTTTTAAATGTGAAAAGGAGCAAATGACATATATGATCTTCTCAATAATCTTAATATTTCGAGAATATTTGTTACGTTAAACATTGTGATATTTTTCTCCTAACGTCAATAGTTGATGACAGAAAGAGAAGTGGTTCTCCTTGCGTGGTTTAAAGCAGTGACACGCGGTCAACGGCCATGAAGGCGTTCTTTGACGGATGAAGAAATGTTCTCTTTTGAAGAAGTTTATAATAAGTAAAACGAAAAAAACTACATAAAAATTTCCAAGGGTTCAACGTAGTTACTTTCCACCTGCTGTAATGGTTTGGTGGACAGTCTTCTGTAAACGCCTTACACTACTTCACTTTTGTGAAGAAAGCTTTGGATCTTTCGGCAAGATTCTACACAAGGCGAAAATCATATAGTTTTGCTTAAAACCAGTACTCATGGTTTTATAGTTGAAAATGGTTGGCCGTCTGGAAGTCCAATTTTAATTAATTGGCCTAAAGCACAAAACGCATCATCGCATACAACTTAACTAGTTATACACTGAACAAAAATTCTACGCAAAAAAAAAAAATTATAATAATAATCACACAAGCAGTATTAAACTAATGAACTCTCAATTACGCAAGTAATTTGTCTACATCAAAAAGGGTAAGAAGCTGAATTCATAAAAATAGTATTGTTGAAAGTTTTGGAATCCTTACCTAGTCGCATATTGTTGGTTTTGTTGGGCAGTAAAGATTTACGCTCGTTGGTTCCCATAGAACCAAGACTGGTACAGTCGGTGGAATCGATGGTGGAGCTACTGGCACCAATGGCTGTAGAATGGTGCTGATGATGGTTGAGTAGCGCTTCGTTTACCTGTGGATCTGAATCGTGCTCTTGAGACGTGCTGCGCGAGCTGCCCATTCGGAATTTCAGCTTAAAAGGTGCCATTCTACAAAGTTCTTTCTGATAACGCACTAACAAAATACAAAAAAATATTGCCCTAAGTATCTGATAAATTAAGATCACGGCACAACACTCGTCTTTTACCCATATATTAATACATACACACTTCCAAGTCGGAACAAATTTTGTTAGAGAGATGTTAAATACTCTTAAAAATGTGCCATTTTCCTATTTCCATTTTCAAAAATAAAGTCACAAAGTTAAAAATAAGTAACGTACATACTATAGAAGTTTATATGCAAGTATGTGGTTGCATTTGTGTACCGAGTGCTCAATCGAATATATAGTGAAACGAAAAATGCAACTTTTAAGAAAGTTTGAGGAATTCACAAAAATTTAGTTTGCAACACATTGACATGAGTAGGAAGAATTAAAATAATAGAATAGAATCTTTAGTAATCTTGCATTTAACTCATTTGTGATTGGACTACGAGCATGCAGAGTTAGTTTCTTTTGATTTACATATATGTGTCTTCTGTCTGTTTCTTCTCTAAACACCACATAGTTTACCTGTTTTTCGGAGTGCCTATTACCCTTTGGCTTGCCAGTTGCATTACCTGGAAGAGAAGAGGCAACGTTATTTCAGAGTTAAAAGAGCATTATTCTCGTATTGATATAAGCAGAGAGAAAAGTTAAAACATAGGGATGCTGGGCAGGGAATTCTCGTCATTTCACATTTAGGTGCTTACTATTAAATCATGGCCTACTCGATTTTAACTTCGCACGAATAGTGCGATTAGTAAATTGTCAAAATCAGACCGCAACTGCTTATGCCAAATATATCGGCCAGTGTATGGGTCATATACTATATGTATGTATATATTTATAAAATTGCTAAAAATATTGTATTTGCACATCACAAAATTAAATGTACAGCTGACTGTTGCGCTTTCCACGGTTTGGATTCGGTTTATTTTGTGCATCTTTTTGAATGAATCTTTTAATGGAGAATACATATCGAGACAAAAATTCTGATTTATTTCGAGTAAACAGCACCAGTCCCCAGAATTGTTGTAAAATGATAATAAATACATATTTTTCCTTTGATATCTTTAGAGAGTCAGCTATCTCGAATAACTTCATGTTAGAGTTAGAATAATAGTCTTCGGCAGAACTTTTTTTTTATCAAAGAATATTTCAATAACTTTCGAACTAATTATACGACAGCTGATTTTATACACGTATAATTCGAAGATTAGATCTACCTACATAACTACAAAATATATGATTAACTTCTAGTAGCGCCCTGTCGTGGACATGATATTAACTTTCCCGCTTAGAAGGTATACTATATTTGTATGTAAATGCAGAAATTTTTCAGAATCGCTGTAATTATAAAAATAGAAGAAGCATGTCTTTTTAAAAATTATCAAATGAAATAACTTTTATTACAATATATGAATTTTTTTATTTAAATATTTAATTAGTTGGAAGAAATATAATTGTTTTGCTCTTAAAAATCGTTCACATGCGTTCATATGTAAATTATGTATATGTATGTATTTTGTGTTTTGTGTTTGTCACGAAGCTTGTAACACCCAGAAGGAAGGGTCGGAGACCGTATAACGTATATATGTATATGTATAAATGATGAAAGTATATATATAAATGATCAGTATGTCGAGCTGAGTCGATTTAGCCATGTCCGTCTGTCTGTATATATACGAACTAGTCTCTCAGTTTTTAAGATATCGTTTTGAAATTTTGCAAACGTCATTTTCTCCTCAAGAATCTGCTCATTTGTCGGAACTGCCGATATCGGACCACTATTTCAGAATGTATTTTCACAAAAGTTGGCACAGGCTATTTTTTAAAGCAACAATGTAATCTCCGAATAAATTGTTCAGATCGGTTAACTAAAGCGTATAGCTGTCATACAAAATGAATGATCGGAAACAAGTTCTTGTATGGAAAACTTTCACATTTGACAAGATATATTCACGAAATTTGGCATGGATTACTGCTTAAAGTAATAATATAATCTCCGAAGAAATTGTACAGATTGGATTACTATAGCATATATGTAGCTTCCATACAAACTGAATACATATTTACTTACAGAACTTGTGAAGGGTATTTAGCAACGGGAGTTAAAGTTTTTTCTAGTTTTTCTTTTGAATTGAATAATGTAACGGCTCTTTGGTATGTATGCATATGTGTGTTTTCGATGCCATAAATCTAGAAAATGAGCAAGAAATTATGCATGAACCACGAAGTATGAAGGGGAACTGAAAAGATGGGAGCTAAATTATTTTAAAAAGCAGCAACTAGGCTAAGTTGTGTTGTTAAGTGGTTGCATACTTATTGGATGCAAAGGTTTAGCTTATTAACTGGCTCACCCTTTAGCTTTAAGTTCGTCTTCCCGCAACTCACACCGCTCCACATAGTAATCAATCAAACAGTTAAACATACAATGCTTTAAATTACAGCAAAAGAGTTTAGCAGAAGGAAGGTAATCTCTCACTGGTAGCAATGACGCTACTCCTGCGCGACAGCTTTAGAGTAAACTTCGCAAAGAAGATAGAAGTTACCGTTCGCAGTAAGACTGATTGGATTAACTTCACGCTTCACCTCCTGCTCATGGATAGCGTCTTTTTAACGTCGGGATTCATACCTATGGGACGCTCCAAGCATTTTCCAAGCAGAAGTCTTAGTTCCATGGAGCCGAAAACTCACGAGAACATGATGCTAGTCTGCACAGCAGTCTGAAGACGATGGATAAAGTTTCCTGGATCTATGTATCCCAATAGGGATCATATCGCCTCAAAAGTACCTAGCAGGATACTGGAATTTCTCATTGTGCTGGGCTTACATATGTATGTATGTAGTGCGTTGTGACAGAGGAAAGGGAACCTTAAGTCGGGGTGCAATTCTCAATTTATTTCTATTTTTTTCTAAATGTCAATGCTATTCATGTGTAAATAGAAATTGTAAAGTTTATCTGACTGTATAATATATATACAAATATATGTAGATATAAATATGTATGTATGCGTTTATGTGGTACATAAAAAGTGTTTGCTTTATTTGAGTTGTTGCACTTGTTGTTGAGTTGAGATGAACATTTAATATCCATTACTAAATATCCACTTACTAAATACATAGATGTGAATATATGTGAACATATGTGAATATTTGTATGTACGTGTGTATACCCAGCAGATATAAGCGTTATCCTGTTGTGTTTGTTTTGCATTATGTCACTTTTCACATTTAGCTTTCTGTCTAACGGTAAACTTCGAAAAAATAGTAATACTATAGCTTACCAATGTGAAGTGGGCCACAAAATAGCGTCTAATTGCTACAGTCTAGTTCACTTGAATAGAGGCAACAATTTTTGTGAAAGAAAATGCTGATTAAATATGTTGTTGTATTTGATCTTTCAACAAATAGTTTCCTGCTAACTCAAGCTAAGACTGTACTGGTTTAAAAATACAAACACATCGAAATAATATTTCAGCTAACGGTATTTTGTAGCGGTAAAAGTTCGGCCGCTGCAATATTCTGCTTCATTTATTGGTTCACTTGAATAGAGGCACTTAGTTTATTGGTTCACTTGAATAGAGGCACTTAGTTTGCTTACATCATTTGCGCAATAAAGGTGTGAAACTAAATATTTTGTTTAAGCATTCATTGTGTTAAGTCGTAAACTTGTAAATTCGAATAAAATGGGAAAGCGGAAATGTTTATCAGAGCGAGAAAAAGGACAAATTGATATATTGACCTCTGAAACACTTTCGAATCGCCAAATTGCCGAAAAGATTGGTCGAATTCCAAATGTTGTTGATCATTATGTGAAAAAGAGTGCCTCCTACGGTAAGAACTACAAAGGTAGGACTGCGATGGCTTTAACACCAAAGGAAGCCCCGAAAATCCTTAGGATTGCATCCAATTCCGCACTTTCAACATCAAAAATTAAAAATTTAGCTGATGTTGCAGCTAGCAAATCCACAGTTAGAAGGGCTATTCTGAAAGCATCACATCTGAAATATAAAAAATTACAAAAAAAAAAAACAAAAAAAAACACTTTTGAATAAACTTCGCAAGCAACGTCGCCTCGATTTTCCAAGAGACCACATGGCTTGGAATTCTGTCACAAATAACGACCCTGGTGAATGGAAAAAAGTTGTATTTAGTGACGTAAAGAAGAGTTTGTACAAATCCATTCCCCAACGTGTTTATGAAGTAATTTACAAACAAGGTGGCAGCACAAAATATTAATCTTTAAAAAATAATGGTTAAAACACTTTGTTCTTGTATCTATTTATATATTTTTTCTAAATTTGTAAGTGCCTCTATTCAAATGAACCAATAAATCAAGCAGAATATTGCAGCGGCCGAACTTTTACCGCTACGAAATACCGTTAGCTGGAATAATATTTCGATGTGTTTGTATTTTTAAACCAGTACAGTCTTAGCTTGAGTTAGCAGAAAACTATTTGTTGAAAGATCAAATATAACAAAATATTTAATCAACATTTTCTTTCACAAAAATTGTTGCCTCTAATCAAGTGAACCAGACTGTATCTTTATTGCGGTGTACACGGTACACACAGGCACATACAAGCACTTTACGTCAACAATGCTGGAAGCGGTACCCAATGAAAAAAGTTAGCCACATTCGTACATACAGACATATATATGTTCTACGCATTTGTATGATTTTGCAATTGGTCTAAAGGCTTTAATAATTGGGGCGTTCACAACCTGTCTTAAAGCATCGTAAAGTCGTAAAATTTTAAATTTTTGCACTTGTTTAAATAAAAATTAGGGTTTTCACATGTCTCTTAAAGTTATAAGTTATAACGATTCGAAAACATAGTATTGAGAATTGTAAATGTGTAAGCTCATTTTTGTATGTAATCCAACCACATTTTTTTTTAAACCAGTGTAAAAATTTAAAATTTTACGATTTTACGATTTAAGACAGGTTGTGAATACCCCAAATATACATATGCATGGAAAATTATAAAAAATTAGAAAAAAACTAAATTTTTATTGCAAGTGAGCACATTTATGGAACTGCTAAAATTCATTTAAACTATTAGTTAAATAACCACTGCAATTGAATAGGAATGGAAGCGAAGACTTTTTGATAAAATTCAACGTAAGTAAGCGTTTCTACATAAATATTTATTTTATGAATATGGTCCATGTAATAAATATTTTTTATCAATTGGGATTTAGAATTCGGGATTGAAACTGGTATGGGCTGATGAGGTGCTCAAGATTAATAATATATGTATACACATATTTGCTGCTGACTAATGGTTTTTAAGGTACTTATTTGCACTTAAAATTCATAAATTTAACACCAGGTATGTAATTTGTATATCCAACATGTTGCGAACTACAGAGTATGATAGTTTTGTTACCTAACGGTTGTTTGCATCAACTTGAACGAATCGAGTTAGATATAGGGTTGTATATATACATAGTACATATACCATAAATGATAAGGGTGATGATACGAGTTGAAGTCTGGACGTCTGTCTGTACGTCCGTCCGTTTACCTGTCCTTGCAAGCTGTAAAAATAGAGATATCGTAAGTAAACTTTGTGCACGTATTCCTTGACAATAAAATGACAAGTTCCTAGATGGGCACAATACGACGACTACCATGCTAACAAAATACAATTAAACCAAAACGTATAAGTGGAGAGTGTGGAGCCCATAGCGTACTTTTGCTGGTTTTGAAGAAAATATCGGCCAAATAAGTCTGTGAGATATACAGGGACGGATCCAGAGTAGAAATCTTTTTTGGAGGGGAGTACTTTTTTTGTGTACTTGGAACACAAAGACCATTTTTAGCGGAGTGTCACTTATGATAGAAATAATGTATATGGTAACTTTTAACATTTGGAGATATACAAGTACAAATGTATATATAATTGGGATTTGGAGAATTATATGCTATTCTATTATTGTATCCCCATATAACTAATATCACATTTTTCGAACATCCAGCTGACTTTAGTCCATAGAGATTGGTGATGGTATGTGAGGTATATTAATGAAACCCAAAGCTTTTTTAATAAGTATGTCGCATGTTAATAGTCCCAGAAATAATTAATAGAATAACAAAACGTACTCTCATATTAAATTTCATTCGGATATCTCAAAAGCTGACGAAACTGGAAATCCTTTTCTAAAGTGTGTTACTTTTATCCTGTATGTTTTTGCTCACAGTTGCTTTGTGGAAGCAAAAATATTCATTGCATTGCATCGCACTGAGCACTGAGTGTGTACGGGGTGGCAATTCAACACCAAGATAGCAAGGAAAATTTCTATTGAATAAGCTAAAACATAACAAAAACAAAATGTATAAAAACAAATGTCTCTTAACGTATACATACATACATGAAGTTTCTTACACAGMTTTTTATATGAATATATCTAATGATGTATTCATATATTTTCTACATTCATCGGAGTAATAAAAATTCCTTGGGAGATTACAAGATTTCCTTTTCCCACCGATGAATCAATAATTTAACATCACCGAGAAACAAACTGGTATTAGTTTCCATTGGTATCTACTCACCATAAATCCATTTGTGATTTATCAATTTTCACATTTATGCTGCAAATCATACATACATAAGTGTGTATACGTATACATCAGTATACATATTAGAATAGTTATGAGCTTCACAAAATTTACTTAGAGCAAGGATATGCGTCTAAAATTACCAAAAACTGTCTTTCAAATTTAGGAACCTAAATTTCACCAGGATTTCAAAAGTATTTCAGTTGAGCACATTTGGCAATTTTATTTCATTTTAACAATCTTCGCACATTTCATTCCATTCCATTACCACTTTAAAGCAAATTTACTGCGCGTCGCTTAGGTTTTTTCTCAGATGGTTTACTCTCTTGAATGCGTTGCTAAGGACTGTCTGGCTGTTATGCTAACCACAACTCGTACATTTATTTCCATCAGTCAGCGAGCTTAAAAGCTTTTCCCTAATTTTCCTTTTCAATTTGTTGCAAGAGCTTTTGTATTTTCACCATTTGTTTTGTTACTTCCTTCTCCACAGGAAATTATTGTACCCAGAGTTGCCTTTTTTCACAAATGCGGAAGGACCTTTTCATCCCTGCAAACCACTTATCGGTTAAGTCACCAGGTTAATTACCCAACAGTGTTACCAGAAATTTATGTCAAAGTTTCCAGGAGTTTCTTAAGGCCAATTTGACAATTCTAACGGAATCTCTTGCGTAGGTGTGAGCGTTCATCCTTTTGTTACGCAAGGGAGTTATGATTTGCTCGGTGTGTATGTTCCCGCAGTACTTTATTCAGAAACGTATTATGCTTCACTTAGTCAATAACATGCCGAAGGCATAGCTCTGTACTGTACAATGTTTTTTTTGGTTCACTGTACATATGTATATTACACAAATTTGCATTAGACAAACTTTTTCAGGCCTTTTTAAGATAGTGCTAGGTTTGCTGATCGAAGATCTCACGTGGACTGCTATATGGAGTCCTTGTGAAGACATAGAAAAGAAGAACTACAAACTTATAAATTAGCAATACACCAGTACAAATTCGCATAGGCGTTTAATTTCAACTCCCGCCAGTTCGGTGGGATGTCTGAAATAAGCGCCAGAGTCATTACATTTTATATCCAGATTGGCACAAAAGAGCTTGTAGGAGTCGCTCTCAAAATTGACCGATGGGCAGCACATCGCCCACTATTAAGTATGGTCACATACTTCACCGATTTGGTAGAACTAAGTACGTAACATTCTTCTATAATGTCTTTGAAGTGTGCCTCGTGTATGATATCACTATTATATATATTCTTAAAATGGTCCAAATCGAACAGAAACTTGTAACAAGAACATGTGGACCCCGTTGCACATTGTTGATTTTTTGTCATTCAATATGTGAGATACGTAATTTAAATTCGGAAAAAATATATTCCTAATAATATTATGACTGAGTGTCCAAAAGTTAATTGGATCGGATCAATGCTTCCCTTAAACCGCATATACCTAATATAAAGATTTTCAAACATCCAGAAAACTTTATTCTCCATATATCTGCCAATATTTGAGTTATCTCAGTCAATATGAGAGAGCGTGGCTTTCTAATACCACGTTTTCCACATCAACTCAATATATATTAAATTTTGCCTCTTCGGTTGCGTTTATATCACATACATACATACATATGTATATCTGATCTGAAGATATTGATTGTAATTTATTCACTATTTCTTTAAATTACGAATGCTAAATTCTTTAGCAACATTTTTTAACGAAAAGGTACTATAAGCGCTTGAAGACATTTGATTCTTACTAGTTACCCTTAGACCTTATTTGCTTCACTTACTATAATAAAATTCACATTCTCACTATATTCATAATGCAGAGTTACATTTGTTCAGAAAGTTTTAATATTGATTAAAGTTTGTATTTTTCGTCAAAAGCTCTTTTACTATTGCAGACAACAACCCGAAACAAAACCATATGAGTATATTTATAGACAGGTACATACTATACATATCATAAATAAATACAAGGTGCGTTCCAAAGTAAACAGGAGTTAAAAAAAACAAAACAAATGGTTTTTTTCGATAAAATCAATTTATTTTATTCAAACTAGTCTCCTTCTGTTTCAATACAGATTTTAGCACAGTCCAAAAGCAAGTCGAACGAGTATTTTATCTCGTTGGCCGGTATGGCCGCCAACTTTCGGCTGATTTTTGATGAATTCACGCATAGTATAAATTTTGTAAAAAGAGTACAAAGTATGGAGTTGTAAGGAACCTTCAATTTCATCCCCTTCTGTTCCTCGTTCCATTTCCACAAAGGTGCTCCAATACTTTAACCACCGATCGATCTGATCTGTTATCTGACGTAAACCAAATTCGCTGTTTCGGTCCAGCTAGTTGAGAAATGTTCTTCTGTCCATTCGAATTTCATCAAATTAATAATGTAAATTTTGATTATTACAAAGAACTAAAAAATTATTTTCCATGTAATACGCTTTCCAAACTACCCTTTTCTAAATGTAGAGGGAATGTGATATGAAGCCCGTGATAACAGTAGGTTAGAACTAACAGGCCAGTTATTGCATAACAGAATGTTTTTATTTTTTAATTAAAAACAAACTACACGAAAGCATTACAAATGTAAATGTACTATTTCATGTTTTCGATATTAATGGCGTTTGTCTGGTTCGCTCACCTCGAGTTACATACCTATATATACCAGATGATGAATCTACTAACTACACAACTTGTGTTTTGGATTTAGTTTAAAAATAGTTCTCATTGGCGATATGAGGATTTTGACTGTCACGATTATATTCATTGGCCTAATTTGGTTTTGCTTGGTAATATGATTGAAAATATATAAAGGCATAATGTGCTTTATACAAATGAAGGAAATCACTCTCAGATCACTTGCTTTATAATTTCAGGCTGAACAACCGTATACGGTACAAAATGAAGCGCTTGAACCATTTAAAGGACTGAGGGAAACTTCCGTCGACATGTCTAATTTAAAAACTGTGGGGCGCCAACGTTTTTTGAATGGTTCGGTCGCAATACTGCAGGACCTGGATAGTGATAACTTTAAATTTCAAGTAGAATTATTTTCGAGTCCACAGGGTGATGGTCAATATAAGCAACTACCAATGGGTGTGCCAATGACTAGAGTTTGCGATGGATTCAAAGATTTGTACACAAAAATCATACAACCTTCTCTAAAACAGGGAGAAAATACGAACTTCCCGTTCATACCGGATGAAGGGTTGTGTCCTTTACCAGCTGGAGAGTATTATATAAAAACTGTAGAGTTTGATACGGATACCTGGCCGAATCAGATTCCACGCGGTGTCCTAAAGGCTGTGTTAACATTTTTCAAGAATGAAGTGAGTGTTGGAGGAACTGTGATGAAAATGAAAATCGAGGATCGACAATAATCAAAGAATCAGTGAAAACCAAAATTAATAAACGGTTACCAGCAGATCATATGTAGTTGTACTGAAAACATGGTGGAGGGAATTGAATATTTTTAGATATAGTTCTCTAGGTGACATAAAGATTTTATTTGGGTGCAGGCTTTTTCCATATGTTTGATGACTATCAACACTGTCACTTTTGTTTTTGACAACGTGGATAACTTAATATCAAAGCATATTTACATATTGACAGCATTAAATATTATTTTTATACATATCGAAATTGCATTTATTATTTTTTGGGTTTTCAATCATTAAAAATTATGTTCATTTAAAAACTCATTAGATAAACCTTCCATGTACGAGTATATTAAAGAAGCAAACGTTGGAGACCCTATAAATATTGAAGAAAATCATGAAATTAAAACATCTATGGGTATGAACATTACCTTTTTGATTACTTCATAAATATTCGTAAAACAAATAACAACGAACCCATAATTGAGAATTATTTACTTTATTGAATAGTTTTGAAATTATTTACATTCTAAATACCTTGTTTGCGCTTGCTGAACAAGAAACGACAGTAGACGAAGGTTTGGCGATTAAAGTGAATCACAAACCGATACCTTTTGTGAAAATAATACTTCTTGAAATTATCTTTCGCTTTTGCATTTTTAATAAATTTACAATGCATGAAACTTACTTATGTATGTCATGTAATCGATAAATAAAWAAGAATATTATACAGTTGAACTTCCATAACTCTTCTTGAAATTGAAGTTCGCCATAACTAGAACTCTTGAATGGCAATAGTCCATATATGTAGGTATATAATACTCTTACATTATTTACACTATTGAGTATGGTCACATATCTCGGGACCTGCTTCTAAGGCAAAAGTCATACAAATTTTTAAATAGGCCCGTGATTCTCTAATAGCCCTGACAGACGACAGCGCTTAGTTGCATTGGCAGGCTTAATTTAAATTAACTTGCGCATTTGACCCATGTTAATGCAATGCACAAAAATTTCGTGCATTTAGCTGAATTTAGCATATTTGAGTAGACAACACTGCCCAAAAATGGTGAGTTTTTGCTATTGTTTGACAGATGTCGTTTGAAATCTGCCGCCTTCTTTTGTAAACAGTTTTTATATTGTTAATTAAATTATGTGCAAGTATAATAACTAAACAAATTTTAATATTTTTGGATGGCATTCATTTTTCCAATATTCTTAACTTTTTCGCACACTTTTTCCGCATTACAATTAATTATTGCTTTTAATTTCACTCTATTATCCTTTCAGGTAGTTAATAATAAAAGAATTTTTTCGTTAAATTTATATTGATTTTCCAAAAATACCAAAATTTCTATTAACAATTTATCTTATTCATTTTTATTTCACTTTTTTTTAATAAATAAACAAAATTTGCTATCAGCTGTCTAAATGCACAAGTCTGCCGACTGTCACCATAAAATTTCAATACATTATAACAGATGATATTGAATAACCGGATATTATACATATACCCTACGATTATGACTGCTATCTAATCTAATTCGAAGTTTTTATGTGGATTATGGTGTTTCGAGTTAGAGTAGTTCAACTGTATTTCCTTTTGCGGTGTGTTTCTGAAGGAAGCTCAAAAAGTCTATTTTTTGACAAAACTTGAGTGGAAGCATAATCGAAGTTAATTTTCGTGTCCCAATAACACTTTTTATCGAAGTACTATTACTTTGTACACAATACATATTCGATAATTTATTGAGCATATGGCAATCTTAGCGAAACCACTTTTTCGTGGATGCTTACACCACCAAAGGAGATTAGCACGAACTAGTTACATATTTATATATATTATAGTATATATTAATTAACTTAAAAGGCTATTTTACCATCAAATCTTAGTTCATATATATATGTATAAATACTCATGCATTGTTTACATGCTTCGTTATGAATTCGCACAATGTCGGATGTGCGTTTTGCATAAGTAAATATTTCTTCATAAGTATTCATCATCTCTCGCATAATTTTAATATTTTCAATTCTAATTTTTAAGGCGAAATGTCAATATATATAATATAATATATTTTTTAAATTTTTTTGGCACAAATGAGTTWAGTAAATATGTTTAATTTTTGTACATATGTAATAAAAGACAATCTATGTAAGTAAGTTTATTTTGATTATAAGAGTAAATTGTTTCACTTATTAAATACATATATATTAAGCATATACATTGTTACTAATACGTACCATATATATAAATTTGACGAGACAATAGATTTTCTGATTTGAACTATGTAATTCGTACGGTAAAAATAATAATATAAACTTGGTTTTATAGCTAAACTGGACCGTGGACTTTCTAACAACTTTGTAGACATAGAGAAATTAGTATGAAGTGAGTTCCCTTATGTCATTTGAAACTGAAACATCTAGACGTATGTACATCACAAAGTATAATAGACACGCCGAAAAAATTGGGTAGCTTAAAAAATTAAAATGAGATTCCACCGAGAGCGACCTTGCACAGGTACAGAGTTTTCGCAATCCAAAATTTTCAGGAAAGTATTCAACGAAACATGATATCTTTGAAGTGTAACGATCAACCTAATTTTACGATCATTGAAAATAATTTGGTGGTAAGTAAAAAGTGTGCTTCATGAAATTCTTAATTTTTATCCAGTTTCTTAAATTTGTGGGGAATATCTGTCAAAAAATTTTACGTGTTTTTTTTTCTTTTACAAACAATTTAAATTTTTCAGTCTGCATTCAACAAATTGTTAATCCAATATTCCTGCTATTATATGGTATAGCTGTTATCAAATTATATAACCGATAAGTCAGTGTTGGCTTCTAATACCAATACTAGGAAAAAAATAAAATTTAAACGCTTTAGTAACTACCTGATACCAATTACACTATTTACATTCACGTAATTGGTAATCATGCATTACTTTTTCTAGTGTATGTTGACGTTATGGTAACCACATGATAAAAAACAAGAAAAAACGTTAACTTCGGTTGCACCGAAAAGTTTTCCATACGTGTACAAACACTTTATTCCGATCATTCAGTTTGTATGGCAGCTATATGCTATCGTCAACCGATCTGAACAATTTCTTCGGAGATTACATAGTTGCTTTAGAAAATAGCCTGTGCCAATCATTGTGAAAATACATTGTGAAATGTGAAAGTTTTTCATACCAAAACTTGATTCCGATCGTTCAGTTTGTATGGCAGCTATATGTTATTGTGGTCCGATTTCGGCAGTTCCGACAAATGAGCAGCTTCTTGTAGAGAAAATGACGTTTTGCAAAATTTCAAAACGATATCTTAAAAACTGATGGACTATTTCGTATATATACAGACAGCCAGACAGACAGACGGACATGGCTAAATCGACTCAGCTCGACATACTGATCATTTATACATATACTTTATAGGGTATCCGACCCTTCCTTCTGGGTGATACAAACTTCGTGACAAACTTAATATACCCTGTTCAGGGTATAATAATAAAACACATTTGGGCTGAAAACACTATTGACCGACAATTTGTTGTTATCGGGTTGTAGTCCACATTTGATTATATCTGAAAATAAAGAGAGAATGAATGAATTATAATGATAAACGTAAACAAGTAAGAAAGGGTAAATTTCTGCTGTACTTGAACATTTTATAATTTCGAAATTTGTAAAGCTCAAAGGCGGGGAAATATTTTCCGATGTAGAAAAACTTTATACTAAAAACGATATGAAAGAACTTAACATTCATTATTCGATTAATATTTGACAGATGTCGCTGTTTATGTGTTCAGCAGACATAGAATAAACAAAAACAATTTTATTGTAAACCATTCATTATTCGAAGAAATAAAAAATGAATGGTTTTCTTCGAATAATGAATGGTTTACAATAAAATTGTTTTTGTTTATTCTATGTCTGCTGAACACATAAATATTAAAATACAATCGTTCTTATGGACACAGTTATTTTGACAGATGCACGACTACATGATAGTAGGCTCTCAGTTGTTGCTCTCGCTAATTTAAAAATATTTTTTAATTTGCCGACGACAGTAGAGAGGTGTAGGGATGCCACTAATATGTAAAATTATTCAAAAATCTAATAAACCGTTTAATTTACTCATTTACTTATTTTTTGCATAACAAATTTCACTTTGAACAAAATATTAAAATTTCATTGAAATGAAAGGTATTAGTGTGGCAACAACGATATTGTGTATATACAAAATGAACAGCTGTGTTGTTTTGTGTACATGGCTGCCATTGTTATGTCGGTACCTTCTTACAAATGTTCATGTAGCAGGCTTCACGACGGCATTTACAGTGCAGCACAGTCGTGCAGTCATGTCGTGTCGCTGTCTATGTGTTCAGCCCATTAGTCTCATAACTACATTTTGCTTGTCCAAAATGTTTACATTAAGGAAAGGCATTCACTTAATTTTATAAAAGTTTCACACATTTGCTGAATATTGGGCTGGATTATTTTTAAACCACAAGAAGATCTACATTATTTTTGATACATCCTTTTTGAACTCAAGGACAAACTATTTTCAGAAAGCTATGATCCAATTTATAATATTTTTAGACGTACCTCGTTTGATAGTACCTCATCATTTGTTCAAGGTTTGAAGCTTGATTTATATTCTGTAGAGTGAAAGATTCATACAGAATCAGAATTTTTTATAAATGAGAAGTAAGCGTGGTTGTTGACCGATTTTTCCCATTTCCACAACGTAAGAAATAAAAGATCACAAAATTTCCTACATTAAATTTGCCCAAAGGTGACCAATGTCAAAATTTTTGAAATATAATACTTCATTCCAGCAAGTTTGGTTGGAATGGCTTAAGGGTTGTAAGATTTTTACATTCAGTCAATTACAGCGTGGGTCCACGTCCGCTTTTAAAAAATGTTCAGCCCACACATGTCTATCTTCACTGCGATACCTTATATCAAATAAAGGATTTGCATCCTAATTTCAAGCTTAGCTCTAGCCTTTTATAGGTTTTAGCTTAACGGCATTTCGAGATCGTGACAATCGCCAATTACGCTCATCTGTTCCTTGGTTACAAGTGTACTTAGTTTCATCAAGATACATAATTTTTTAGTCAAACTATCCCTTGCACGGACAGACGGATAGACAGACAGTCACTCGGAATTCAACTCGTCTATAGCATTGGATATTTAATAGTTAAATGGAAAATATATTATATCGAATATTTCGGTGTGTGAGTTATCTTCAATAAATTACGTGGACATATGTATATGTTCTCGAGAATACCATATATGAGTATTGCCGGTAGTTACTTCAATCAATTCAAACCTTCTCCTAATCCCACTCTATCCGATATAGTGATTTCGGACTTTCCAGCTGGTGTTAAAGCGTTTGTGTGATATTTTTTAAAGTACAATATATATGACATCGATCGAAGCAGTGATAGTGCGTTAGATCTGCTATCTTTATCGATTGTCCAGTGATAATTTCATGACATTTCATCTGTTGGAAGTGAAGTTATTCCGTTTTAAGTGTCAGTATGTTTGTGTAATCGATGTGAAAATGGGTTTCGAACAAAAGGCAACATTAAGTTTTTTTTTTTAAATAGGTAAAACTTTTATCGAAACGTTTTAATTGATGAAATAAGTTTATGGCGAAGATTGCCTATCCAGTAGCAGAGTGCAGGAGTGGTTTCAACGTTTTCAAAGTAGTCGTGAGGACATAAATGACGATCAACATGTGGGCCAATCAAAATCCGTGATCACCGGAAATTCCATCGAAACTGTGCATGAGTTCATCAAAAATCAGCCGAAATCATCATTAAAATTCATGGAAATGGAATTGAACATCTCCATAGCACCGATTTATCGCATTTTGGCGGCCATACCGGCCAACGAGATAAAATACTCGCTAGACATGCTTTTGGACTGTGCAAAAAGATGTATTGTAATAGAAGGAGACTAGTTTGAATAAAATAAATTGATTTTGCCATTTGTTCTGTTTTTTTCAAGTACTGTTTACTTTGGAACGCACTTTGTATAATAGTTTTGTGCACCTATTGGTTGTACGTATTACCTAAAAATAGTCGACTTAAATATACGATTATATATATATAAATGATCAGGATGAAGATACGAGTTAAAGTCCGAGTCTGTCTTGTGTTCTAAAAACGTAAATTTTCATTGGCCATACAACTTTTTCTGTAGGAGTTATAGCTTTGCGGGAAATCGAGCTGAGTAAACCGTTTTAACCCTTAAAAATTCAACAATGCCTCTTTGTTTTCTTTTCTTGACTACAAATTACCCTTAAAAATTTTATATTTTTAGGGTTCCTACTATCTTGAACAACTTCACTTTGCGGTCATTAAAAATGATTTTGGGGACTTTTGTGATGTTTTTGTAGGTAAACTCTTCTTTTGGACGTCCACTGCATTCACCGTGTTAGGTGCTCGTTTCACCACGTACATATGTATAAACTCGTCATCAAAGCAAGTTTCTGCTTCAACAGTATTTTTTTCCATTTCAAGAAACAATATTTTCTAACCCCACGAAATTCCTTTTAAGACATTTTGTCTCAATAACAAAAGTTGCTTTCTTCAAAATAATATAATTCATAATAATGATCCGACGGCCGTTAAATTTATATTCATTATGGTATATGCCAGCCATGTGTCAGCCGGGACTTCTCAATTATGCCTTCAGCCCAGAATCCATTTAGTGACGCGTTGTTAATGCAATTGTTTTTCAAAAAATCATATGTGGGTTCTCATAACCAAAAAAAGCCGAAATTTTGGCGATTAACAACATCGCTTAAGATGATTTTGGTTTTTTTTAGGGTTTGACAACGCTTTAGTACATAAATAGCGGCAAATTTGATCTTGCGTTAATTTTTGGACACCCTTTATAAAAAATTAGCAACGAGTTTTACACTTCTCAAAATATTAAAAAAGTATTAAAATCAAACATATATTTTCTATTTATTCATCATTAGTCGCTCTGGACAGATTGTATTCTCAAGAGAATGAACCACCCGAGGTTATATAGTCCTGACTAACATTGTAACACCAGTCCTTGTTTCTTTTGATAAATATCGAAATTTTGATATGAAATTAATTTTCATATTATTCAGTTTGTCGGAATTTGCAGACATATTCATTCTTGCTTACCAATTAGCTTAGTTTGGGTCGACGAATATTTAAAATATCGCCTGCTACGATAAAAGTCCATATCTGAATGAAATATAAAAGAGTCACACAAAGCAATTAACTTGTCTCAAAAGGGGCAGTTGCTAAGTGAAGGACCGTCTACTCATTTGTGTAAACATTTTAAAGCTACAAGAAAGCTTGTGGGCAGGACCTAAGCAGCGGAAGGAAAGCGGAGGATGATGCACTAATGTGGCTTGTTGAAAGAACAATGGTAAACTTTATCCATTGTCTGTCAGGAACTGTAAGAGCCGCACATAACTTTTGCTGTGTGGCTTTGGGCGAAAGAGAAAGCCCCACAAAGTGGCTGAAATAAGTTATTGAGCCCTAGCAAGGGGCATGACAACTAATTGCTTTAACACTCTTATGTTGTTTCCATTGTTGCTACTTTGAGTAATTTTAGTAAACAACGTTGGCTAGTGTTATTGCAGCTTTCCTGACCGCATACACCCACTTGCATAGAACTATTTGATTTCAACGTGTACTTGAAATCAATTAATCGCATCTTTGTTCATTTTCTTAAAGGGAAATAAGTAAAGTGATAATCACTTTAATCTCAATCCAAAAGGGTCTAATGAGTTACGAGTACTTTCTATTGTGGATGTTGTAAACTTAAACTTAGAGATACATTCTTTCGATTTTTATGGTGACATAGAAAGCGGAATGACACCTTTATCACATTTTGTTCAAGATGTTATTTTTATGATTGGTTCGTTTTGCTGACGTACTCGTATAATGAGACGGAAAACTTCTACGCCATTACTTTCGAAAAAAGCTTGTGAGATTTCCTAAGCAGATTGGATGACCGTTCAATCTATAACTTGAGAGTCAAACCACCTCATGTGCACTCAATTCTTTTATATTATTCAGTTCTATATGTTCACACATTATGTATAATTTCATGCTTTTCTTGTGGCACAAATGTCGGAAGGTTAGGTGATCATGCATTGGGATAAAGCAATGATGGATTCCAATTTTTTAAGAAAAGTGTATGGAAAATTGTATAATTTAAACAAATTTATCTTGAAAATATATCTGTTATACATATATAGATAGCACAAACATTTTACCTTGAGTTCAAAAATTTCATCGAGTTATCTGCAGTAGTTTAATATATTATAAAAATTTTACAAATTTATTGTACTCTAAAATTCAACATTTAATGAAATTTCTTATCTGGATGTTCAGTTAGTGCTAATTTTCTAAATCGGTGATTTGCGAACTTTCTGATTTGCGAAATATGATCACATATGTCATGAATCGAAAGCTGGATCCTCGCTTATAACGTAATTCTTCCAAATTTAGGATTGCAGAAGAATATGAACATTAAAAAATGTAAATATTTCAATTTTGTTGACTTGACTAGGGGACAT